GAACCATAGGTGAGATTCCTAAGGCTTCAGCAATATCTTGATAATATTCTTCTTTAAAAAGTCTCAAGTACGAAAAATCTGGAGTACCAGGATCAGAAAACATATTGATATTTTTTTTTTTTCAAAATATTTTTGTTTATTATTTTTGAAAAAAATTTTGTAAATAACTTCTTGAAAGTGAATGTAAACATGATCTTTATATAATAAATAGAAAATTTCAAATTTTTATATTTGGATAAATTGCTGTTTATTATTGATTCAAAAATAAGAATATTCTTAATTATGGATTTATGATAATAAAAACTATATACCTTAACTTATTACTAAATCCACCTATAAATTTTAAATAATGACCATAAAGCATTAACCTTATTTACATTAATACCGCAAACCTCCTGTGCACGAGTTTTAATAAAATTACCATTATAATTTCTTGCAGCATTAATGATATGATAAAGACAATCTAAATAAATTTCTGGGCTTATATGTAAATATTACATATCTCTTTTTCACAAATATAAAGATTATTATAAAAAGGATAGCTCGAATAATCCTTCATTTTACCTAATTGCCAAGTTATATTTACCTTTGGCATAATTTTTGAATAATCCAAATTTAAAGATTTAATCAATAAAATTAAATCAGATTGAGGATTGATTAATAATTTATTCGATAAATTATCTAATTCGATATAATTCTCAAGAATGACTTGTTTCAAAAGTTATGAATTTTTCATATAATTATTATAGATAGAAAATCTCATAATAACACCAGTACCATCATTTCTTATGGTATATGTATGTATTGATTTACGTTTAGAATGATAATTCATCGTATTTACCAAAAAATATATATATCATTGTTGTATTTATATCAATTCAACTATACCATTTATAGAAATAAATTCAGATAACCTTATAAGGCTATCTAATAATAAATTGATTATTGATACAGTAATTTTAATTAATTATGTAATTTATGTAATATACTGTAAATTGAATAATCATATATGGATAACATTAAAGATTCGAATAATAATCAGTGATATGTAATGCATCAAGAAATCCTTTTCACAAATTATCTTCATTCCTACATCGCCAAATAAACTCTAATAGATGATCATCAATAAGACTTTTGTTATGATTTCTAGATCGAACCTTCAATTTAACACCACCCCAAGTACCTTCAATAGTATTTGTATGTGCTCCCATCTCAGGATCCACAAAACATTCATTATGATTTACAGTCATGTGAGTAACCCCCAATTCTTCAAGATCCTTATATCCT